ACACCGATGACATTACGGATATTACGGATCTTCTCTTCTCTCCTCTGCGCCCCTCTTCGATGGTCACGTGGAATGCTGCCGCTCTTTTTGCTTCTGTCAGATATGGAGGGGGGGTTGCGAGGGCTCGCTATCGTAAATTCTTGCAGTTGTGTGAACGGTATGGCGTTGTATGTATTCAGGAATGTCATGGGCATGAGGGGGATATCGTATGCCTGAGACAGCAGTTGCGTGGGTGCCACATTGGTGCGACGATGTGTGCGTCGACTGCTGCGGGAGGCACGGTTACCGTAATTAGTGCCGCGCTTGCCTCTCAGTTCTCGTCTATTCGGCATCGTCTTTTGAGGGAAGGTCGGGTGTTTTTTTCGCAATGTGTCGGTCCGCATGGTGCGCTCTGTATCGTCAATGTACACATGCCTAACACGTGTCACGGTCACCTGCAGTACCGGCGTGTGCTTCGCACCGTGTGTCGTGCGCTGCCCTCGGCGACGGCTTGTTTCAACCTCATAGGTGGGGACTGGAATTTCGCTCTGGAGGAGGAAGGGAGGCAGTCTGATGATGGTGGGCATTGGGAGGCAGGGGACAGATGGCACACCACATACTTTAGCACGAAGTGTGCACGTTGGGCTGAGCTTTACCAGCCTGGTCCGACTCGCTATGGGTGGGGCAACGACGGCAGCGCTCATGCGGCGCGTCTTGACCGCATATACACAGATCTTCCGTGTGCCCTCCTCGCCGACCTCACCTTGCAGGCGAAGGTGTGGAACCGACCGACGCGGTGTGAACTGTCGGATCATCTTCCCGTTGCAGTCTCCTTTCAGGCCTTCAACCCCAAGGAGTCCTCGGTGGTACCTGTTTGGCTCAGCAAGACCCCAGTTTACAAGGACATCGTTTCGGAAGGCCTTCAACAGATCCCCACGGAGTGGAGTCCTCTTCGGCGGCTCGAGGCTGCGAAGTCTGCAATGCGCGAAGCTGTTCGGGCTGCCAAACGCGCGCTTGCACACAAACCTGCTCGCACACCTGAGGAACAGCATTTCTGGGCCATGCGTGCGGCGCGAGGGTGGCGCACAGGGAACTTTGACCTGGTGCGAAGTGCGATTGGGGCGCTTCCGATGCTGTTGCAAGTCTTTTATGTGGACCGTGAGGGGTGCACGGACTACGCCCGTCTTTGTGAATATGCCAGGCGGTGCCATTACACTGTGCTGGAGGCCCAGTTTAACCAGGCGGTAGCAACGACGACAGCGGGGGAGGAGGAGGGGGCTCGGCGGCAGCAGGCCATCTCGCGTGCCCGGTTTAAGATGCAGGTCTCTCGCAAGCTGCGTCGCCGTGTGCACCTCTCGGGAGTTCTCGCTGATGACGGCCCCCCCTGTACAACTGTGGAGGAGTCTGGCAACGTCCTTGCTCGATACTGGGAGGGGGTCTTTGCTGCTAAAGAGGAGGACATGTCGGGGCGGGAGGAGTTCCTTGAGCACTGCCAGTCTGTTCGGCCTTTGCGTGAGGTGGTTCAGTGGAGGATCGAGCGGTATGATTTTATCCGTGCCATTCGTGCAAAACCTACAACTGCCCCTGGTCCTGATGGTATCCCTTGCAGCTGTTGGCAGACTGACCCTGTCGCCAACTTGCTCTACGATGTGCATGAGTACTTGTATGACACGAATAGCACTGACTTCCCCATAGACATGCGGCATGTTCTTCTCACCTTCCTCCCCAAGGGTCTACAGGACTCCAGCGCGGGCACCGCAGTCTTTCGTGACGCTAGCAAGACGCGGCCGTTGGCCCCGGCCGACACTTCGTGCAAGGCGCTGTCTGCAGCGATGGGCTTGCCGCTTGCCTCGGTTGCGTAGTCGACAGTTCATGAGATGCAATCGGGTGGTGTTGGTGGGAGGAGTATCACGTCTAACGTGGTGGAGGCGGAGGGATGGGGATTATCTCAATGGCTTCATGGTAAGCCGCACTCGGCGCTCCTGCTTACCGACTTCGCTGCTGCGTTCCCGTCCCTCTTTGTCAGCTGGATTCTCACTGTTCTCAGTACCATGTCTGTTCCTACTCCCATCATCTGTTTCTTTGCTGCCCTCTACACTGACAGCGCAGCCATAGTCACTCTGTCTGGGCGGCGTCTGCAGCGCATCAAGATAGAACGAGGAGTGCGGCAGGGGGACCCGACTAGCATGTGCCTTTTCGCGCTGGCCCTGGACCCTATTTTGCGCTGGCTGCTGCGTAAGGGTAGCGCACATATTGGCAGAGGGCTGGGGTACGCGGATGATCTTCTGTTTGGGGTCTGTGATATCCGTACGGGGCTGGTTCCTATTCTCGAGCTCTTAGGGGCCCTGGATAATGCGATTGGTCTTCGGCTCAACTACTCTAAGTGCCAACTGGTTCTTACGGGTGGGCAGCCGTGTGAAGTGGGGTCTGACTGGCTTTGGGCTCTTGGGGCGCCCTTTGGGTTTCTTCAAGTTGGGCTACATGCTCGCTACCTGGGAGTGGAAATTGGTCCTGACGGGGGGGATCATGTGTGGCGGGGGGCCCTCGACAAATTCCAACAGCGTGTGCGTGCCTTACGGAATCTTGGGTTCGGTCTTGCGACGACCATCGTCATGTTTACGTCCACGTGCCTGTCGGTTCTTGGGTATCTCTTGCAGTTCTATGCCCCGACGCGCGAAGTGCACCGTGTGTATGCTGCGTCTCTTCAGTTGCTCGCTGCTGCCCCGCGGTATTCCTTCTCTACACAGATGCTCTGTGGTCTCAAGGCACTGGGACTGACTGCGGAGTTCCCAGCACTGGGACCTTACGCGCGTGCGGTGCAGTTGCGTGCGGCAGTCACTTGTCCCGCTTTTGGAGGCCGCCACCTCGATGGAACGGAGACGGAATGGGATGGAGGATGGTGTATGCATTGTTAGGACACTGAATGGGTGGTGGAGGGACTCTTTTGTGCGACAGATGTGCATTGTGTGCAACGGCTGTCAGCAGATCACTGAAGCGGTCCCGCACGATTTCCCTGAGAAGTAGCTCCAGCGTCGCTTTCTGACTGCGCTCCTCGCTCGGGACCCTGTGGACCTCGCCGATTGTCCTGAAACTGGGCTCCTCCGCAGGGTCTCCTCCTGGCTCCCTGCCCCGTGCCCCATCGAGGTTGCCCACGTGATCGGGAAAATCCGTTACACGACGAAACGTACGAATATGTATATTGGGTTGGCACCGTTGCGGATCGCGTGCCGTGGTGTGTGTACGACATCGCGTTTCCATACGATCTCTCGGGGTTGCATCTTTGGGTGTGTGTCGGAGGTCCCTGGAGCGGATCTCGATGATATGCGACATTACATCGTTTGCCCGCGTTTCCTGGACATTGCAAGGCCCTGGCTGGGTGCGATTGCGAATTGTGCCGACACTATCCCGATTTCCTCTCTTCTCCTCCTTGCTGTGCACCCTTCTGTGGAGGCAGTGCTGTGCTGCGCGTCGTTCTGTGAAGCCCTTTTACATGCGCACTCTCAGAGGAGGGTTGGCAGTGTAGTCGGCCCTGCTAGTCTTTTCGAGGCGCGGATACGCCTCCACTGCAGGCGCCCCCGCGCACTGCAGACCGCCTGGACAAAGCTCACTGTCGCAAGGCTCGCTGTGGGGCAATCAGCAGGCTAGCGGCCAAAAAAAATCGAGCGGCCCGTCACCGCACGGTGTTGGGGCTCCGAAAACACTGGCACTAAGTCGGGCCTGTCTCTCTACAGGAGGAATTTCCAAAACAAGTTCAAGCATAGTCAGGAGACAATTTAATTCATTGGCTGGCGCCGCACCGTCGCTCGGGGCGGCAGTAAGAGTGAACAGCGGAGTTTGCGGAACGATTTCTTGGGAATCTTGGGGTTTTAGCTTCTTGGGTTTTCGTCGGGGGCGGTTGGTGGATCGCCGCTCTGCTCTTGGACTTCTCTGGGCTCTCCTAGCAGCACTTTTATGGCCTCTTGGGAGCCGTTTTGAGGCCTCCAAGAGCCTCTTTTGGGCCTCTCGGGAGCCTCGTGGGAGCCTCTTGGGGGCCGATTGGCGCCTCCTCAGGTTTTTTCGGGGCCGAGTGCTCGACATGTTGATTCGGGTTCCCCCTCTGGGCCTCCTCTTGGGGCCGTCCTGGGGCCCTCCTGGGTCGTTTTGGAAGCTTCTGGGGCCGTCTTGGGGCCCTCTTGGGCCGTTTGGGAGCCCTTTTGGGGGCCTCTTGGGCTATCTTGGGTCGATCTTGAAGGCTTCTTATGCCCTTGTGGGCCTCGTGAAAGCCCAAGAGGCGAATGTGCAAATAATATGCGGCTTCCCTAGGGAAGGGGCGACTTTTGCCTCTGGATGGCCTCTGGGGACGCCTCTTGGTGGCTGCTTGGGGCCTCTTGGTGGCCTCTTGGGACCGTCTGGAGGCGATCTTGGGCGTCTTGGAGCGATCGTTCGGCGACTCGTAGCCCTCTTGGACCGTCCGCGGGGCCTTTTGAGGCCCTCTTGGCCCGTTTTGGGCCCCCCTTCCCCCTGAGGCTCCAAGGGTGCGGCCGAAACCTTTGCCCCCCCCCCCCCCCACCTCCAAACTGGCTGGACCGGGCTCCGGGGGAGGGGTTTGGGGAGGGGGAAGCATCTCACACGCCGTGACCCCAAGGGGTCGGCGTTTTTTTTGCGGGGGGGAGGGGGGATTCTTTTATACATATAGTGTGTATATAGAACAAGTTGCTTGGAGTATGTTTTGACATTGTCTTATTCTTCGTCCAGAATCCCCCTGTAGGGGTACTCTAGGCCTCCCAGCTCGGGTCGGAGTAGAGGGGGTCGGAGGATCGCGCCGCATCGCCGATGCATCGGCGATGCTGCTGTATGTGGAGCCCGATTTGCTTCACGCCGACGTCGCCGATGCACCTCCGACGTTGACGATGCATCGCCGATGCATCGCCGATGTGTCGGCGATGCGGCGCGATCCTCCGACCCCATCTACTTCGACCCCATCTAGGAGGCCTGTAGGGACAGGCCCGACCTCACACTGGCACTGTTTTCTGCTCCCCGAGGTGGCGCGGGGAGGGGGGCGCCGAGCTGTGGCCGGGCTGGCCGCACGACGGGCTCCCCGACGTCTGGGACTTCGGCTTCGTGCAGATGACGCCGTTCGGCATGGCGGAGGCCGAGAACCAGGGAGCCCCAATCGCATTCAGGAGAGGAAAAAACACACAGGCATAGTTAAATCGTCGATTCCCCTGAAAATATGGAAAACTATTGGAAGTGGCGGGGAAAACCAGAACCCAGAACATATGGGACAATATGGGGAATTCTGTTATTTGTGTTCATTTATTTGTGTGCCCCAGGACCCCTTCACGTATGGTGACCGTTTTTGTATCCATTGTTTTGCCGATCGGTGCGGGCCCTCGCGCCCCCCCTCCCCCCCTCCCGCCTGGAGTAGAGCTTGGCTGCTTTTTGGCGCCTGCGATTAGGCGGGGTTCCTCCCCCGCAGGACGCGCTGCTGCAAGCAGTCGCAGTAAGCAGAGGTCCGGAGCCAGACCCCCCCCTCCCCCTCTCTTCCGCCCAATGTCGAAACGCCGAATAAAAACGGACATGCGCGCAGGTCTTCGCACGTTTCCATGACCTCTTGCGTGTTTCCTCGCCTGGGGGTGCTTTCCAGCAGCTGCGCCTCGTCCGAGGGCGTTCCAGGGTGCCCGGATGCTCCCGAAAGGCCGCCAGAGGCTCAAGTTGCGGTAATGGAGCAACGCACTCGGAGGAGGGTTGGCGTGGTGAGTCAGTCGTGATTCGGGGTGCCCGCACGGCTTGGCACTGGGGTCGCTCTCCGAGGATGCCTCGGGGGCGACAGGGACCTCCACGTCCCAAGTCCGTGCGGTGGGCTTCGGCTTGGCCTAGGTGATGCCGGCTGGCATCGCGGAGGTCTCAAAGCCGGAGCACCTACAGTCGGGACTTTGAAATGATGGCCATTTTGGGCTAAGGGGCTAAGGAAGGGAGGGGCTTTATGTCAGATTTTGATGGAGGGCCCTCGAGGGCCGAATTCCCTTTTCAAACCAGCAGCATGGGCATGCTTACTTTCTGTGCGCTGCCAATGGTTCCAGGGCTGTGGTTATGTTTGAACTCCTCGCAATCTCGCCCCGCGTGCACGGTCGTGACAAAGGAGCAGTGTGGGATGACCCGTCGTTTCGAGCGCCGTCGTCGCGCTGCGGTCGGCGGAAACCACCGTCGGGCTTGAAAAATCCGTCGCCCGATTCCGGGGGGCGCAGGGGGTGCGGCAATGCGCCGGGCCGCGGGGTCTCGGCCACCCCGCAGGGCTCGCGCGCACTTCGCTCCGGTGCCCCTACGTCAGCGATTGCTCTTCTGAGTCCGCCCACTGTCTTTCATTCTTCCATGTAGCGCCAGTGTTCGGCAATCAGGCGATTGAAACTCGGCATGAAGCCGTAGCAGGTGGCTGCCGCCTTCTAGGCCTGATGAGGGCCCCAGAGGCCTTGGTGCGCGAGTTTGTTTTTGCCAATTGTTTACGCAAAGCGACGCTGGTCTTCACAAGCGAACGAAAAGTTTATACACTTTTACAAACCTTCAGTCGTGCTTCCGGCATTTCACGCGTGTTTTCGCGCATGATCGCGCAAACTGGGGGTCGCCCAGCCAGCCAGGACGTCATGCCCTTTCGGGGCCTGCACATCGGTTCCTGGAAGCCCTTGCAGAGTGTGTCTCCTGTGGTGCCCCACGACTGGTCTCCCAGTCTGGGGATGGGCTGGTGGGTGCCACAGGGCGCAACCTGAACTGTGCGCGTCCGGCCGCGCCTCGCTGAGAGCCATCAAGGGTCCCCGCGAGACCGCACTATTCTGGAGGGGAAAAACACACACACAGACACAAATAGTCGTCGATTCCCAGGAAAATGTGGAAAATATGGGAAGTGGCGGGGAAGACGAAAATTCAGAATATATGCGAAAATATGGGGATTTCTGTTACTTATTTGTGTGTCCCTGGGCCCCTTCAACTATCTCACCCGGTGCGAGGACCCTTCCGATTATGCTGCGTCCCCTTCGTCGAAAGGCTAGTGCGCACAGACCGTTAAGGGAATCGAGTCGTTCGCCGTTCGGGAAAGTCAGTCGCACGCAGGCCGGGGGGGGGGAGGCGATTTTGGTCCACGACCCTTCGTCGAGAAGTAAGTGCGCGAAGGTCTCCGCGAAACGCTAAAACAGTCGCCGCTCGGGGCGGCCGAACACTGGCTAAGGCTGTTATTTTTCATTGAGCGCTTGGGTTCAAGGGGGCCTGGCGTACGTTGAAAGCAGTAGGTGAACGTTTCCTTCCGATCTCGGTAGGTGGCTGCGTTCTTTGGTCCCCGAGGTTAGGCGTTTGCGCTGAAAGCGACCGTCTTGAGGTCCTCTATCGGCATCTCGGGGCCTCCTGGGCTTGGCATCGCTCGGACGTGTGCATTGTTCCTCCGGCGAGGACCATCGAGGAGCATCCTTGATCATTTGGCGAAAAAGCCACGCACGAAACCGAAAAAACATAGGAAATGGACGTCCGAGCGATGGCCAGTGGGAGTCTCCAGAGGATGCCAGGAGAGTCCCAAGATGGCCGCAAGAGGGCCCTTCAGGGATGTCGTTTTCGGCGAGCCCGCGAGCGTGTTGCTCCCCAGGGCAGGGCTCGCTTGCGGTCCGGATTGGGGCCTTCTGGGTGTATTTCGGGGGCGGAAAAGAGGGGGGTGATGACTAGGGGGGGGGGATATCATGGCGGAGGCCATGATATTTCCCCAGATCTCATGGCGCCTCTTCTTGTTTCATTACGTCCCTGGCCCCCCCGCTGGGCCGCGCGCATGCCGCCGGTCATGATTTGCACCCCCCCCCTCTTGGACACCCCCCTCTTGGCCGCTCCCGAATCTCGGGGGGCCTCTCAGGGCCTCCTCGGGACCTTGGAGGCGCCTCAGGAGGGTTCCAAGAGGGCCCCAAGAGAACCGCAAGAATGGTCTCCAGGGTGTCCGCCCAGTTCTACCTTGCCTATCATCCCATCCCGTCCCCTCCACCTTCCTCCGCCTCCCCTGTCACACGATCCCCCCTCCCCTCCTCGCACTGTTTGCGTCGCGGCGGTGCCGTCGTCTGAGTTTCGCGCGCCCCTTACTGTGACCCTTGATTGCGTGAGGAACTTGAGGGTCAGGCGTTTCGCGCCGCAGTTCGGCAAACGTGTTCGAGTACCCAGACTTGCGACGCGCATGGGTCACGCGCGCTGGCGACACTGAGGGTCACGCCTGCAGCCGCCGCCGAGGATCACGCGCTGCCGCCACCGAGGGTCACGCGCGCTGCCGCCGCCCAGGGCCCTTCGGGTCGCGCGCGCTACCCTCACGCATCACACCCCGTGCCGATGTCAGAGGAGGGCGCGGCCGCAGCGCGTACAGTCGGGGCGCTGAAGAAGGAAACCTTCTCGTTGGGGAGGGGCTCGGTGTTCCTCGATTGCTTCACAGTTTTCCCTGGGTTTTCCTGATGTTTCCCATGGGGAATTGAAGTTTGACGTATGAGAAAAAGGGACCTCGTTTCTTATTTAGGGTTTGTTTAGGTCAACGCCCCGACTGTACAATTTTGTACAACATGTCGGTCACTTGGCATCGCTCGGACGCGTGCGTTTTTCCTCCGGCGAGGGCCATCGAGGAGCATCCTTGACCATCTGGCGAAACAAACACGCACGAAACCGATCAACAACACAGGAAATGGACGTCCGAGCGATGGCCAGTGAGGGCGCGGCCGCATCGCATACAATGTTGTACAACATGTCGGTCATGGCTGCACTCGCTCGGTTGGCGCGGGGTGGATGCGTCGCACGTTAGAGAGAAAAGTGCGACCGTTCAAACAAGACCATGAGGTTAGAACACGTGGCAAAGGTTCAAACAGTCCCCAATACGTTCGAACCGTGCTCAAAAACAGTTCGAACAAGTTCAAAAGCTTACAACAAGTTCAACATGTTCAGACAAGTTTTGGGGCCTTTTGGAAGTCGTCGTTGTGCCAGGGAGTCGCCTTGAACTTATTTCGAACTTTGGGTTCTTGGAGGTTTCGAACTCGAACTTTCTTTCTGTTCCCTCTCCCCGAACCCAAACCCGAGCTTGAATTACTTTTCAGGAAAGAACATATCTCTCCCATCAGTCGGTTACAAGACTAGACCCCGCCCACTTCAGCTTTGCCATATGTTGCCCCTGGCCGTCCACTCTGGAGGCAAGAAAACGCGCCCGAGAAAGCCCCAATGAGATGTGCAGATGTGCGGGCGAAGCATGCAAAACGTCATGTTGTCTCAGGCCCTCTTTGGCAATATGGAGGCCCTTCCGATGCACCGGAGAAGCCCCCGGAGGACTTCCAAGACGCCCCTAAGATGGCCTCAAGGGAGCCCTGGGGGTTGTCAGTTTCACAGGCGCTGAAAGTGACACTCTGAAGGGACCTCTCTGGGATCTTGGGACCCTCCTGCGGCACTCCTGAGTCCCTGATGGGGGTTCCAATAACACCTCAGAAGGCTCCCAGAAGGCTCCCAAGAGGGCCCCAAGAGGGTTTCAAACGAGCCAGGGGGGGTCACCTTCACTGTCCTTGGGACACCTTGAGGCCCCCCCCGAGGCCTTGAGCGATTTGCGAGAAGCCCCCAGATGGAGGCCCTCCAACATTGCCCCAAGAGGGCTTCAATAGTGCCTTGGGAGTGCCACTTTCACGGGCGCTGAGAGTGACGTCCTCGAGGGCCTTGTTCGTCATTTGGCATGCTCGTGGTGCAGTCGTTGAAGGGGCCCGGGAGGGGGTACACGGGGGAGGGAAGGGAGGAGGGAACAGGGGGGGAAGGAGCGAGGGAAATTGATGGGTGTCATGAACGCAAGCGGGAGCGTGACGGCAGGGACGCGCCATGGTCGCCGCAACCCTTCCGCCCCCCCCTTCCCTTGCTCTTTGCGTTCGGCCCGATCGCCTTCGAGTTCCCGAGGCATCTCAGACCATTTTGCTTTGAGCGGCCTCTGTAAATCCAGCGGCCGTTTGCAGCAAGGCGCGGCTGCCGTCTGTTAACTTTGGTGGCGGTCGCTATTTCGATGCGTTGGGCGATGCTGCGCGTTGCGCGCTGCTGTTCGGGATGCTCTCGGGTGTGTGCTGCTCGTTGCTGTTGTTGGTGGTTGTTCGGGCGCGAGTGCGGTTTTTGTTGTGCGTTTGTTGCGTGCGACTGCCGTTGGGACCCATGGCCATAGGTCGCAGCGCGTGGGGGCCATTCCGGCGACATTTGCCATTTGCTTCGACGTTCCATCTTCCGCTTTCAATTCTTCGCGTCGGCCCATTCTGAGCCAGAGTGGACTCGGAAACAGCTGGCGCCAGCTTGAAATATAAAAGCTGTTTTTCCTGCCACTCCCATTCGCGGCGTGACGTTTCTCCAGCACCAAGCTGTGTCAAACATAACTTCATAGTTGCCACTCGGGGAACCATCGAGGCTTGAGTCTCTTTCGCTCAACGGTGAGATGAGGGGCTCTGGTTATCGGACCGATCCGCCCATCCTCGTCTGGTAGGCCTTTCGTGGCCGAGGCTCGCCGTGGCCAGTATAGCTTTTGTTGTTTCCCATTCGCAAGGCTTATGCAATCCCTCCAACGCGGAGAAGAGGAATGACGTTCACGGGTGAGGCTTTTCGGGGGTTCTTGGGGGCTTTTGGGGGGTCGTTCGGGCCTCTTGGCGGCCTCTTCGGGCCTTGTGTGAGTTGTGGGCGCCTGCTGGCGGTCTCTGGGGTTCACTTGGGGCGGAGGCTCAGAATGCCAGCTCGAGTTGCCTCTCTTAGGCATCCCTTTGGTCCCTGTTGGTGCTCTCTTGGGCCATCTTGGGACTCCCGGGCCGTCTTGGGACCCCCTTCGGCCTCTTGGGGCCTTTTTGGGGGCTTCTTAGGCGGCCGTCTTGGAGTGATCTTTGGGGTCTTTTGGGCCTCTTTGGGCGTTGTTAAGACCGATTGCCCGAACGTGCCCAACCCTGTCTAAACACGTGGCGGCTATACCCAGGACCGCTATGGATCAAAAACCGAGGGGAGGGGATTGAGGCCACCCCCTGGGAGGCTTGCAAATGGCGTCTTGAGGAGGCCCTCTTGGGCCGCTCTCGGGGCATTCTTGGGCGCTCTCGGGGCCCTCTTGGGGCCCTCTTGGGCCCCTCTGGGGGCTCCCTTGGACCGCCTTGGGGCCATCGTAAGGCCTCAAGAGCCCATCGGAAGCGAAAAGGCAAGAAGGCAACACGACAGTGAATGTCCTACTTGTTGGAGTCTGTCGAAGGCTCGGAGGGCACTTGAAGCCGTCTCGGGGCCGTCGTGAGGCCTCTTGGACGTCTGTTGGAGGCTATCTCGAGCCATCTTGAGGTAGCCTAGCTTGAGCCATCTTGCAGGCCACCTTGCGCTCTCTGAGGCCCTCCTGGAGCCATCTTGGGCGATCCTGGGCGCTCCACCCCCTCGCGGGGCGCCCCGTGGAGACCCAGCGGAGGGGCAGGGGAAGGGGTAAACCCTTTGTCCGAGCATGGGAAGGACGGGTTCTGGCAGGGAGAAGAGAACATTCGTGAAACCACCTACGCCACTATTGGAGGGGGGGTTCTAAAGACCTGCCTGGCGATCCTGGGCGCTCCAACCCCTCGCGGGGCGCCCCGTCCAGACCCGGGGGCAAGCCCTTCCCCCGAGCATGGGAAGGACGGGTTCTGGCAGGGAGAAGAGAAAATGAGTTACACCACCTACGCCCAGGGGGCTGATGGGGTTAATTGCCACTATTGGAGGGGGGATTCTAAAGACCTCCCTCGGTTAAGCATCCCCCGAGAGGCTGGGTCTCCGACGTGGGGCTGGCGCGGGACCTGGCAGGGAGTCAGCACCCAATCAGCATCGGGGTCAAGCGAAAACCAACCACTCGGTTTTCAGGTGTGCATGCGTAGACCGACAGGAACACCCTGTCGGTGGCACCTGTTTGTTGTTGTTGTTGTTGTTGTTGTTGTTGCTGGGGATGTGGGGGGAGGGGTGCATCTTTCGGCTTGCGATTGGCGTCGGAACATTCTCGCGATCGATGTGTTGGCTCAACTTCGACGCATTACTGTCGCTCTGCACGTGCATACACACACAGCTTTTGAGACTGGACCTGCCTAGTCAGTTTCCTCTCACTCGGACTTCAGGCAGTTGGGATGGCGGCGACCAGGACTGCACCATGGATCATGTGCGTGGCGCTGCTGGTTCAGGGTGTAGCTGGCGCGGCTTCCATGATGGTGAGCGAGGGCGTCCATCGCGACAGCGACCCGTACAACGCCTCGCGCACGAGTGACAGTATGAAGGAAGTGCATGAAGTGCAGGAAGTGAGCGGCATGCCCGCGCAGCGTTCAGCTGGTTACCTATCTTACACCCTTGGAGGAGTCAGCCATTGTTGCACTTGCGGTTGGAATAGTTGGCGGACCCTCGGCGACAATTACCGAGCCAATCACGGCGATCAAGATGCGTGGCTACTGGAGAGACCAGGGCTGGGGGGGCTACAAAGGCTACATCCGTGTTGTGGTGGGGCCCGAGTCGTATACCTATGGTGTGGCACCTCATTCCAGAACGGAGTTTACGTTCACCTGGATTTTGCCCGCGCCCGCGACATTTGGCAGTCAAGTAGCGGTGTCTTACAACGTTGGGTGGGGAGGCGGGCACTGTCTCTACGTCGATAATGGCGCGAACCTGGCTGTGATCACCGCGACGCCCAGCCCGACGCCCTACCCGACGCCCTACCCGACGCCCTACCCGACGCCGAACCCGACGCCGAATCCGACGCCAAACCCGACGCCCTATCCGACGCCCTACCCGACCCCCTTCCCGACGCCCTACCCGACGCCGAACCCCACACCGAACACGACGCCCAACCCGACCCCCTTCCCGACGCCGAGCCCGACGCCCTACCCGACCCCCTTCCCGACGCCCTTCCCGACGCCGTTTCCGACAGCCTTCCCGACGCCCTTTCCAACGGGCTTCCCGACGCTGTTCCCGACGCCCAGTCCGACGCCCAGCCCGACGTATCCTCTGGGCTGGCCGACGCCACATCCGACGTTTCCTTCCGGAGCTCCCGTGGCGGGTGGAGCTGGCGCAGGCGTGGCTGCTACTGGCGACCCCCACCTTCAAAACGTTCTTGGTCAGCGGTTCGACTTGATGAAACCGGGAAAGCATGTTCTGATTAGCGTCCCCCGTGGAAGGCGTTACAATGCAATGCTTCGCGTAGAGGCTGAGGCGCGTCAATTTGGAGGGCAGTGCGCAGACATGTACTTCCACGAGCTGAATATCACGGGTGCGTGGGTGGAGGCGAAGGGAACCGAAGGTCTCCGTTTCCAAGCTGAGGGTGCGCGCGACGAGCATCCGCAGTGGTTAAAGTTTGGGGTCATTGAACTCAAAGTAGCCCATGGGCGCACTGAGCAGGGCGCCTTGTACTTGAACTTTTACGTCAAGCACCTTGGGCGCAGTGGGTTTGCCGTCGGAGGGTTCCTTGGAGAGGATGATCACACTGAGGCATCGATGCCTTCGAAGGCATGTGCTCACCGCACTGTCCTTTAGAGGCAGTCTTAGAATGATGACATGCGCGGGATGAGGGCAACCAATGTTCAGCTCTTCTCACACTGGGAAGAAGCATGCAGCGGCCCGTGGGCGCAAACAACACTTTTGTTTCTACCATGAGAAAATCGCGATCTATATGTCTGGCGATCTCGATATCTCGGTATCTATCGACCTCCCTACCTGTCGGTCTCACTGTGTGTCCATCGACTCGACTACCCTACCAAAAGATGGATTGATCTCCTGGCACCCGACGATGCCACCATGAAGCTCTACCTCGATCCCACTGGATGGATGCTCATTCCGCGCTTGATCGATCTATACATGGATGTACATATTCGAGTGTGTGTATGGGCAGCCAGGGCTCTCGCGGGGGCCTGAAGACTACCGCGCCTCGCTCGTCGCGGTCCGGGCCGGAGCGGTTGCCCGTCTCAGAGTGGGCGGCGCGAGAGTGCGATGGCGATGCGCGCGTTGCAAGCTGCTGTTCGGGATGTTCTCGGGTGTTTGCTGCTCGTTGCTGTTGTTGGTGGTTGTTCGGGTGCGAGTGCGGCCTCGGGCGCGCGCCCGCTGCGCGCGACTCCCTGGAGGGGTCTGGGAGGCCTCTTGGGGCCATCTTGGCCCCCATGAATCAAACACAGAGGGGGGAGGATTCAGGTCACCCCCTGGGAGGCTCGCAAATGGCGTCTTGAGGCCCTCTTGGGTCGCTCTTGGGGCGCTCTTGGGCGCTCTCGGGGCCCTCTTGGGGCCCTCTTGGGCCCCTCTGGAGGCTCTCTGGGGCCGTCTGGGGGCCATCGTCGGGCCTCAAGAGTCCATCGGAAGCGAAAATGCAAGAAGGCAACACAACAGTGAATGTCCTACTTGGTGGAGTCAGTCGACGGCTCGGATGGCACTTGAAACCGTCTTGGGGCCGTGGTGAGGCCTCGTGGATGCTACCTTGAGCTATCCTGAGGTAGCTTGAGCCATCTTGGAGGCCACCTTGCGCTCTCTGAGGCCCTCTTGGAGCCATCTTGGGCGATCCTAGGCGCTCCAACCCCTCGCGGGGCGCCCCGTCCAGACCCGGGGGTAAGCCCTTCCCCCGAGCATGGGAAGGACGGGTTCTGGCAGGGAGAAGAGAAAATGAGTTACACTACCTACGCCCAGGGGGCTGATGGGATTAGTTGCCACTATTGGAGGGGGGATTCTAAAGACCTCCCTCGGTTAAGCATCCCCCGAGATGCTGGGTCTCCGACGTGGGGCTGGCGCGGGACCTGGCGGGGAGTCAGCACCCAATCAGCATCGGGGTCAAGCGAAAACCAACCACTCGGTTTTCAGGTGTGCATGCGTAGACCGACAGGAACACCTTGTCGGTGGCACCTGTTTGTTGTTGTTGTTGTTGTTGTTGTTGTTGTTGTTGTTGTTGTTGTTCTTGGGGATGGGGGGGGTGCATCTTTCAGCTTGCGATTGGCGTCGGAACATTCTCGCGATCGATGTGTTGGTTCAACTTCGACGCATTACTGTCGCTCTGCACGTGCATACACACACAGCTTTTGAGACTGGACCTGCCTAGACAGTTTCCTCTCACTCGGACTTCAGGCAGTTGGGATGGCGGCGACCAGGACTGCACCATGGATCATGTGCGTGGCGCTGCTGGTTCAGGGTGTAGCTGGCGCGGCTTCCATGATGGTGAGCGAGGGCGTCCATCGCGACAGCGACCCGTACAACGCCTCGCGCACGAGTGACAGTATGAAGGAAGTGCATGAAGTGCAGGAAGTGAGCGGCATGCCCGCGCAGCGTTCAGCTGGTTACCTATCTTACACCCTTGGAGGAGTCAGCCATTGTTGCACTTGCGGTTGGAATAGTTGGTGGACCTCGGCGACAATTACCGAGCCAATCGTGGCGATCAAGATGTCTGGCTACTGGAGAGACCAGGGCTGGGGGGGCTACAAAGGCTACATCCGCGTTGTGGTGGGGTCGGAGGCGTATAACTATGGTGTGGCACCTCATTCCAGATCGGCGTTTTCGTTCACCTGGACATTGCCCGCGCCCTCGGCATCTGGCAGTCAAGTAGCGCTGTCTTACAACGTTGGGTGGGGAGGCGGGCACTGCCTCTACGTCGATAGTGGCGCGAACCTGGCTGTGATCACCGCGACGCCCAGCCCGACGCCCTACCCGACGCCCTACCCGACGCCCTACCCGACGCCCGACGCCCTACCCGACGCCCTACCCGACGCCCCTACCCGACGCCCTACCCGACGCCGAACCCGACGCCGAACCCGACGCCCAACCCGACCCCCTTCCCGACGCCGAGCCCGACGCCCTACCCGACCCCTTCCCGACGCCCTTCCCGACGCCCTTCCCGACGCCTTTCCCGACGCTGTTCCCGACGCCCAGTCCGACGCCCAGCCCGACGTATCCTCTGGGCTGGCCGACGCCACATCCGACGTTTCCTTCCGGAGCTCCCCTGGCGGGTGGAGCTGGCGCAGGCGTGGCTGCTACTGGCGACCCCCACCTTCAAAACGTTCTCGGTCAGCGGTTCGACTTGATGAAACCGGGAAAGCATGTTCTGATTAACGTCCCCCGTGGAAGGCGTTACAATGCAATGCTTCGCGTAGAGGCTGAGGCGCGTCAATTTGGAGGGCAGTGCGCAGACATGTACTTCCACGAGCTGAATATCACGGGTGCGTGGGTGGAGGCGAAGGGAACCGAAGGTCTCCGTTTCCAAGCTGAGGGTGCGCGCGACGAGCATCCGCAGTGGTTAAAGTTTGGGGTCATTGAACTCAAAGTAGCCCATGGGCGCACTGAGCAGGGCGCCTTGTACTTGAACTTTTACGTCAAGCACCTTGGGCGCAGTGGGTTTGCCGTCGGAGGGTTGCTTGGAGAGGATGATCACACTGAGGCATCGATGCCTTCGAAGGCATGTGCTCACAGCACTGTCCTTTAGAGGCAGTCTTAGAATGATGACATGCGCGGGATGAGGGCAACCAATGTTCAGCTCTTCTCACACTGGGAAGAAGCATGCAGCGGCCCGTGTGCGCAAACAACACTTCTGTTTCTACCATGAGAAAATCGCGATCTATATGTCTGGCGATCTCGATATCTCGGTATCTATCGACCTCCCTACCTATCGGTCTCACTGTGTGTCCATCGACTCGACTACCCTACCAAAAGATGGATTGATCTCCTGGCACCCGACGATGCCACCATGAAGCTCTACCTCGATCCCACTGGATGGATGCTCATTCCGCGCTTGATCGATCTATACATGGATGTACAGATTCGAGTGTGTGTATGGGCAGCCAGGGCTCTCGCGGGGGCCTGAAGACTACCGCGCCTCGCTCGTCGCGGTCCGGGCCGGAGCGGTTGCCCGTCTCAGAGTGGGCGGCGCGAGAGTGCGATGGCGATGCGCGCGTTGCAAGCTGCTGCTCGGGATGTTCTCGGGTGTTTGCTGCTCGTTGCTGTTGTTGGTGGTTGTTCGGGTGAGAGTGCGGCCTCGGGCGCGCGCCCGCTGCGCGCGACTCCCTGGAGGGGTCTGGGAGGCCTCTTGGGGCCATCTTGGCCCCCATGAATCAAACACAGAGGGGGGAGGATTCAGGTCACCCCCTGGAGGCTCGCAAATGCGTCCTTGAGCCCTCTTGGGCCCGCTCTTGGGGCGCTCTTGGGCGGCTCTCGGGGCCCTCTGGGTCCCTCTTGCCCCTCTGGAGGCTCTCTGGGGCCGTCTGGGGGCCATCGTCGGCCCTCAAGAGTCCATCGGAAGCGAAAATGCAAGAAGGCAACACAACAGTGATATGTCCTACTGGGTGGAGTCAGTACGCCGGCTCGGATGGCTACTTGGAAACCGTCCCTTGGGGTCGTGGTGAGGCCTCGTGGTGCCTACCTTGAGCTATCCTGAGGTAGCTGAGCCATCGTGGGAGGCCACCTTGCGCTCTCTGAGGCCCTCTTGGAGCCATCTTGGGCGATCCTGGGCGCTCCAACCCCTCGCGGGGCGCCCCGTCCAGACCCGGGGGTAAGCCCTTCCCCCGAGCATGGGAAGGACGGGTTCTGGCAGGGAGAAGAGAAAATGAGTTACACCACCTACGCCCAGGGGGCCTCTAAAGACCTCACTAGTGACAGTATCCCCCGAGTGCTGGGGTGCACCTGGAGCGGGATGCACGTAAGCGTTCAGTCAGGTTCTTTATCGAGCAGCCTTCAGGAGTCAGCCATGACAGTATGACAGGAGCAGTGTTGTTGTTGTTGTTGTTGTTGTACTTGGGGATGGGGGGGGTGCATGCAGGCGAGTGTCGCGGATCGATGTGTTGGCTCAACTTCGACGCATTACTGTCGCTCTGCACGTGCATACACACACAGCTTTTGAGACTGGACCTGCCTAGACAGTTTCCTCTCACTCGGACTTCAGGCAGTTGGGATGGCGGCGACCAGGACTGCACCATGGATCATGTGCGTGGCGCTGCTGGTTCAGGGTGTAGCTGGCGCGGCTTCCATGATGGTGAGCGAGGGCGTCCATCGCGACAGCGACCCGTACAACGCCTCGCGCACGAGTGACAGTATGAAGGAAGTGCATGAAGTGCAGGAAGTGAGCGGCATGCCCGCGCAGCGTTCAGCTGGTTACCTATCTTACACCCTTGGAGGAGTCAGCCATTGTTGCACTTGCGGTTGGAATAGTTGGTGGACCTCGGCGGCAATTACGGAGCCAATCGTGGCGATCAAGATGTCTGGCTACTGGAGAGACCAGGGTGGGGGGGCTACAAAGGCTACATCCGCGTTGTGGTGGGGTCGGAGGCGTATAACTATGGTGTGGCACCTCATTCCAGATCGGCGTTTTCGTTCACCTGGACATTGCCCGCGCCCTCGGCATCTGGCAGTCAAGTAGCGCTGTCTTACAACGTTGGGTGGGGAGGCGGGCACTGCCTCTACGTCGATAGTGGCGCGAACCTGGCTGTGATCACCGCGACGCCCAGCCCGACGCCCTACCCGACGCCCTACCCGACGCCCTATCCGACGCCAAACCCGACGCCCTACCCGACGCCCTACCCGACGCCCTACCCGACGCCCTACCCGACCCCCTTCCCGACGCCCTACCCGACGCCGAACCCAACGCCGAACCCGACGCCCAACCCGACCCCCTTCCCGACGCCGAGCCCGACGCCCTACCCGACCCCCTTCCCGACGCCCTTCCCGACGCCGTTTCCGACAGCCTTCCCGACGCCCTTCCCAACGGGCTTCCCGACGCTGTTCCCGACGCCCAGTCCGACGCCCAGCCCGACGTATCCTCTGGGCTGGCCGACGCCACATCCGACGTTTCCTTCCGGAGCTCCCCTGGCGGGTGGAGCTGGCGCAGGCGTGGCTGCTACTGGCGACCCCCACCTTCAAAACGTTCTCGGTCAGCGGTTCGACTTGATGAAACCGGGAAAGCATGTTCTGATTAACGTCCCCCGTGGAAGGCGTTACAATGCAATGCTTCGCGTAGAGGCTGAGGCGCGTCAATTTGGAGGGCAGTGCGCAGACATGTACTTCCACGAGCTGAATATCACGGGTGCGTGGGTGGAGGCGAAGGGAACCGAAGGCCTCCGTTTCCAAGCTGAGGGTGCGCGCGACGAGCATCCGCAATGGTTAAAGTTTGGGGTCATTGAACTCAAAGTAGCCCATGGGCGCACTGAGCAGGGCGCCTTGTACTTGAACTTTTACGTCAAGCACCTTGGGCGCAGTGGGTTTGCCGTCGGAGGGTTGCTTGGAGAGGATGATCACACTGAGGCATCGATGCCTTCGAAGGCATGTGCTCACCGCACTGTCCTTTAGAGGCAGTCTTGGAATGATTACATGCGCGGGATGAGGGCAACCAATGTTCAGCTCTTCTCACACTGGGAAGAAGCATGCAGCGGCCCGTGTGCGCAAACAACACTTCTGTTTCTACCATGAGAAAATCGCGATCTATATGTCTGGCGATCTCGATATCTCAGTATCTATCGACCTCCCTACCAATCGGTCTCACTGTGTGTCCATCGACTCGACTACCCTACCAAAAGATGGATTGATCTCCTGGCACCCGACGATGCCACCATGAAGCTCTACCTCGATCCCACTGGATGGATGCTCATTCCGCGCTTGATCGATCTATACATGGATGTACAGATTCGAGTGTGTGTATGGGCAGCCAGGGCTCTCGCGGGGGCCTGAAGACTACCGCGCCTCGCTCGTCGCGGTCCGGGCCGGAGCGGTTGCCCGTCTCAGAGTGGGCGGCGCGAGAGTGCGATGGCGATGCGCGCGTTGCAAGCTGCTGTTCGGGATGTTCTCGGGTGTTTGCTGCTCGTTGCTGTTGTTGGTGGTTGTTCGGGTGCGAGTGCGGCCTCGGGCGCGCGCCCGCTGCGCGCGACTCCCTGGAGGGGTCTGGGAGGCCTCTTGGGGCCATCTTGGCCCCCATGAATCAAACACAGAGGGGGGAGGATTCAGGTCACCCCCTGGGAGGCTCGCAAATGGCGTCTTGAGGCCCTCTTGGGCCGCTTTTGGGGCGCTCTTGGGCGCTCTCGGGGCCCTCTTGGGGCCCTCTTGGGCCCCTCTGGAGGCTCTCTGGGGCCGTCTGGGGGCCATCGTCGGGCCTCAAGAGTCCATCGGAAGCGAAAATGCAAGAAGGCAACACAACAGTGAATGTCCTACTTGGTGGAGTCAGTCGACGGCTCGGATGGCACTTGAAACCGTCTTGGGGCCGTGGTGAGGCCTCGTGGATGCTACCTTGAGCTATCCTGAGGTAGCTTGAGCCATCTTGGAGGCCACCTTGCGCTCTCTGAGGCCCTCTTGGAGCCATCTTGGGCGATGCTAGGCGCTCCAACCCCTCGCGGGGCGCCCCGTCCAGACCCGGGGGTAAGCCCTTCCCCCGAGCGTGGGAAGGACGGGTTCTGGCAGGGAGAAGAGAAAATGAGTTACACCACCTACGCCCAGGGGGCTGAGGGATTAGTTGCAACTATTGGAGGGGGGATTCTAAAGACCTCCCTCGGTTAAGCATCCCCGAGATGCTGGGTCTCCGACGTGGGGCTGGCGCGGGACCTGGCGGGGGAGTCAGCACCCAATCAGCATCGGGGTCAAGCGAAAACCAACCACTCGGTTTTCAGGTGTGCATGCGTAGACCGACAGGAACACCTTGTCGTGGCACCCTGTGTGTTGATGTTGTTGTTGTTGTTGTTGTTGTTGTTGTTGTTGTTGTTGTTGAACATTATTAATTCTAAAGAATAATTATTGTTGGGACCCCTGGTGCACGGCCCCCCTGCGCCGCCTAGGCCGCAGCTACATTTTCATCATTTTCGTGAGGAAGCCTCAGGTAATTCGATGTGATCAAGATCCGGTTGTTTTGTTCCCCCCCGCTTTCCCTTGCAAAAAACACTATAAAATGACATTTCTTGTTCTAATATAATCAAATTTCAAGAATCCCTTGCAAAAAATAAGGTAAAGTGGACATTCGCGCGCGCAAGACGAAATCCTTCCAAAAGCTTAGTGTTCGGAGCGATTTTAACATAAAAACATCAAAAAACCAATGGTTTTTCAACAAAAAAATGTCAAAATCTCATCCCGCGCGCTCTTGCGGATTCGTAGGAAACCCAACACTTTTTAAACATTTCTGTCAAACGGGCTTTTGCGAGCAACTTTTTCGAACTTCTGCGACAACGGTTGCGCACCTGCCAGGGCCATCATCCCTGTCAAATAATACCATGCGGGACACATTCGTTTTTTCTTCGCGCGCGCACGCCGAAATCTCCAAAAACCATTGGGCTTCTTAAGAATTTTAGCACCGCGCATCATAAAATCACACGAATCGCACCGTAGGTCCTCGAAAAACACCTGCACGACTTTTCAAAATTTCTACCCGCGCGCGCTGTCCGAATCCTAAAAAAACAATGGTTTTCCAACATTTATGTTACATGAGCTCGCGCGAGCTACTTTCGCACGCTCTTGCATGTGGGTTAACAAGGCTTAACAACTTCTGTGGGTGTACGAACGTAGGCTTAACACTTCTGTGGGTGTGTACTCCACGCCAGTGTAGTAGCCACGGTCGTCCGCAGGCCACGAAGTGAAGTGTCCGAACGTCATAGGGCGGGAAGCTGGGTGTGGGTGGTGGCGAAGAGTCGTGTGGATATTTGGTAGAGCTTGCACCCCCCCCACAAAGTGGGGGTATTGGCTGGCGTCGCATGAAAACCCTGGCACTGGTGAGAACACTGAGCGTTCGGGTAAAGTGATTGTTGTTGTTGTTGTTGTTGTTGAACATTATTTCTTCTAAAGAATAATTATTGTTGGGCCCCCTGGTGCGCGCCCCCCCGCCGCGCCTAGGCCGCAGCTACATTTTCATCATTTTCGTGAGGAAGCCTCAGGTAAAACGATGTGATCCAGATCCGGTTGTTTTGTTGTAATCCGTTTTCCCTTGCAAAAAACACTATAAAATGACATTTCTTGTTCTAACATAATCAAATTTCAAGAATCCCTTGCAAAAAATAAGGTAAAGTGGACATTCGCGCGCGCAAGACGAAATCCTTCCAAAACCTTAGTGTTCGCAGCGATTTTAACATAAAAACATCAAAAAACCAATGGTTTTTCAACAAAAACTGTCAAAATCTCATCCCGCGCGCTCTTGCGGATTCGTAGGAAACCCAACACTTTTTAAACATTTCTGTCAAACGGGCTTTTGCGAGCAACTTTTTCGAACTTCTGCAACAACGGTTGCGCACCTGCCAGGGCCATCATCCCTGTCAAATAATACCATGCGGGACACATTCGTTTTTTCTTCGCGCGCGCACGCCGTCGTCGTCGGCCGCGGGGCCCTGAATAGTAGCCACGGTCGTCCGCATGCCACGAAGTGAAGTGTCCGAACGTCATAGGGCGGGAAGCTGGGTGTGGGTGGTGGCGAAGAGTCGTTTGGAAATTTGGTAGAGCTTGAACCGGCCCCCCCACAAAGTGGGGGTATTGCCCGCCTCCTATGAAAACCCTGGCACTGGTGAGAACGGAGTGTCCCCACGTGCTAGTAATTGTTGTTGTTGTTGTTGTTGTTGTTGTTGTTGTTGTTGTTGTTGTTGTTGTTGTGGTTGTTTGTTGTTGTTGTTGTTGTTGTTGTTCTTGGGGATGGGGGGGTGCATCTTTCGGCTTGCGATTGGCGTCGGAACATTCTCGCGATCGATGTGTTGGCTCAACTTCGACGCATTACTGTCGCTCTGCACGTGCATACACACACAGCTTTTGAGACTGGACCTGCCTAGACAGTTTCCTCTCACTCGGACTTCAGGCAGTTGGGATGGCGGCGACCAGGACTGCACCATGGATCATGTGCGTGGCGCTGCTGGTTCAGGGTGTAGCTGGCGCGGCTTCCATGATGGTGAGCGAGGGCGTCCATCGCGACAGCGACCCGTACAACGCCTCGCGCACGAGTGACAGTATGAAGGAAGTGCATGAAGTGCAGGAAGTGAGCGGCATGCCCGCGCAGCGTTCAGCTGGTTACCTATCTTACACCCTTGGAGGAGTCAGCCATTGTTGCACTTGCGGCTGGAATAGTTGGTGGACCTCGGCGGCAATTACGGAGCCAATCGTGGCGATCAAGATGTCTGGCTACTGGAGAGACCAGGGTTGGGGGGGCTACAAAGGCTACATCCGCGTTGTGGTGGGGTCGGAGGCGTATAACTATGGTGTGGCACCTCATTCCAGATCGGCGTTTTCGTTCACCTGGACATTGCCCGCGCCCTCGGCATCTGGCAGTCAAGTAGCGCTGTCTTACAACGTTGGGTGGGGAGGCGGGCACTGCCTCTACGTCGATAGTGGCGCGAACCTGGCTGTGATCACCGCGACGCCCAGCCCGACGCCCTACCCGACGCCCTACCCGACGCCCTATCCGACGCCAAACCCGACGCCCTACCCGACGCCCTACCCGACGCCCTACCCGACGCCCTACCCGACCCCCTTCCCGACGCCCTACCCGACGCCGAACCCAACGCCGAGCCCGACGCCCAACCCGACCCCCTTCCCGACGCCCGTTTCCCGACGCCTTCCCGACGCCGTTTCCAACAGCCTCCCGACGCCCTTCCCAACGGGCTTCCCGACGCTGTTCCCGACGCCCAGTCCGACGCCCAGCCCGACGTATCCTCTGGGCTGGCCGACGCCACATCCG